CATTCCAGACGTCTAACTGGTAGCATCCTGCACCCATCAGTGTGGGTTTATAGTGTAAGTGAAATGAATTTCCGAGAAGTCACACACTCAAATATGCAATGTGGAAAAAAAATTTTAAAGTATGATTTAGATGAAATTTTTGTAAGACCTTAAATTAATTTAAAAAAAAAGAGACCCCCAAATCTGCCAGTAGGGAAACCAATATGTAAGACCCCTATGTACGATTCTATTTACAAACATTATCTTAGGAAAATACTTACTCTCCAAAATCTGGGGAGTTGGTTTTTTTGCTTCTAAAACTCTTGATATAAATTAAATTCCTACAATGAGTGCTATTTTATTTTCCCTAGGGAACTCTAATAAAAATAGGGCAAATCTGATCCTTCAAAAAGTACTTTCATTTCTTAATCTACGTCTAAATTAAGTAGGGCAGGTAGCAGACATACACTACATATCAAAGAGTTTATAATCCCCATTTATAGTTATTTAAAAATAGATGAAACATTTGCTGAATTAAAGAAATCACTGAGTTACAGATCAGGGAGATAAAGTAAGAAGTCTACATGGTATCACAGATTTGCTTGGGTCTATGGTAAAGGTCTCACATGCTTTGCTTTATTAACATTACATTGCAGATATTAACCACTATATATAAATATAGATAAAAAAACAAATGTCTTCTGTATAGCACAGGAAACCGTATTCAATACCTTGTAATAACCTTTAATGAAAAAGAATGCGAAAACAAATGTATGTCTGTATATGCATGACTGGGACACGATTCTGTACACCAGAAATTGACACATTGTAACTGATTATACTTCAATTAAATGAAAAAAAATTACATGACTTCCCAAACTGATCTCCTGCCAGCAATTTGAGGGGCACTGATTTTGGGTTGCAAAAGTTTCTGACAATTTTGTTTTGAACTTTTAAATGTGTTTTTATTCCTAAGGTCTGGGCATCGGGAACATGTTCTATGTTTTTTATGAAGATGGAATCAAAGTGATACAACCCGTAGAATGTGAATTTCAGAGGCACATTAAACCTAGTGAAAAGTTCCTTGGATTTCAGGCAAGTAGTTTAAAAATTCCTTTGTGGTTTTGTGCAGCAGTCTTGCTAAATAGAAAGATATTTTGGAAAGACAGTGAAATCTATACATATTTGAGATGTGTTGGGAGGACAGTATTAACTCTGTGCAAGTTTTATATTTGAAGAGGAAAAGAATATATTGAGTGTTCTTTATTACTTGTTTGTAATTAAAATAAAGGCACTAGACGTGAAATACCAAAAGTGAACGCAGCGTAATAACTTCACCTTCTTCTTAATTTAGAATGCCTCCCATTTTGATAAGCACGAGTTACTTTAACAAAATAAGAGAAAATAGCCTGTAATTAATCTGATGGGAAATTGGGGTATATTAGATGCTCTGTAAATGTTGATTCTCTTTTCTTCTTCATCTTATTTTTTCAAGAGGTCTCAACAGAATGAATGATTTAGATTTAGAGGGGAAAATATCAATTTCTTTTTTTATTTACATTTTCTTTCATGGAAATTTTTTTTTCTGTTAAATTTTGGTACAGAATTCAGAAAATAAAAATATCTAACAAAATGACTATTTGAATAGACATACGAGGAACTGTATTTCTGTGCAACATAATAAAAATTATATTTTTTATATTTCTATGGCTATAGATATATCTCCACATAAATATGTGTACACCAAAATATGTAACACTAAACATACCCGTGTTACCTATGTGTTCCCACACAAACGCTGGCATGCACCAGACACACAAATAAAATAAGATACTGGTAGACTTCAGAATGCAACCCCGTCTTGGTACTCATCTTTAAGGTTGGCATGGCCACAAGATATGAGCAAAATAGGTATTTAATGCCCGAGTTTAGACCCTTTATTTCCAGCTCCTGTTTCCAGCCTCCCAGTAGCCAGTGTTGTCAGAGACTGACATATGGAGACAACACTTTGCACCTTAAAACTATGCCCTACAATGAGATGAAGGAAAAAAAATTGTGAAGGTGAGATAAAATAGGCTAGCTTCCCTCCAGACATTCTTTAGGACAAAGACTCTAATACCACTTATTTTAAATAACAGAAATAATTTAACTCCATGTGTCTACAAATGTTCAAAACAAATGAAACAATTTTTAATTTAAAAAAATATTTCACTTATTGGCTAAATTACTAAATATTCATTACCGTGTTTGTTAAGCTCTAGTTTAACAAGTGCAAAAATATTTTAAATTGTACCTGCAATTTTGTTTTGTTTTGCAGTCATATCACATCCATGCTGACTAAATCCATTTTGAGTAAGGCATGTGTGTGTGTGTAAATAAATAAACTCATATTAAATATAAATATTTGCATCTGATAAAGCAAACCATTCAATTTTATAGCCCATTTATATTTTTTATAAAAGCATATGGATGAGAAATTTGGGCTAACACGGATATTGGAGATGTGGCATTAAAATGATTATTTAAATCAAAGCAAAAGCATTTTTCAACAGTGTTCCACTCTCATTCATTCCTACAGGGTCAGCAGTGTTGTAGCTAACTATTTGGAATCTAAAGCTGAAAAAGCAAGGAAAAATTGATGTGATAGTTTTGTGACTTGTCCAGACAATAGGGATGTGAAGTTTACTTACCTGAATTTCTCTTTAAGACCTTTGAATACTTAGACTTCCTTCTAAAACAATGGAAGTAGAAATTGTATAGGATTATGTTTATGTATCTCTCTCTCACCATATATCTGAGTATATATAGTGATAAGTGATATACATACACACACACACACACACATATATATATATATATATATATATAAATTACGTACACTTTCCTGTAAAAAATTAAAAATTGGAGCGATGGAAACCAGATATCAGTGATGACAGCCTTAACTCAGCTCCTTCAGCCTGAGAAACCTGATTCACACGTGTACATCAGGAGTGACAAAGCAGGGATCATTAGTTATTGAGAACTAATTCACCACATCAGATTTTTCAAAGCACAGCCCCTGGAAATTTTACAATTATCCAATATATGGGATTATGCTAGAAATGCATACTGTGAAATAAAAAGAAATAGAAAGATAGAAAGTCATCATTCTTGTATTATATAAAACAAAAATGTACAAAAAATTTTATACGCTAATGGAAAAGCAAGCAGAAAGAGTAAGAAAAATCAGGTTTGCATTTTTAAGAAGAGAGAAACTATCAAATACTGCGTGTGTGTTTTAAATGTATGACATTTCTAATTTTTGGATGTTGAAATTAAAATGCAAGAAGATTTCAGCTGATGAATATATTTGCTAAAGCACCGAGAATGATATAGAGAATGATGAATTTGGCTGAAACTATGTCCTGTTTATAATTGTTAAATGCAGAATATAAAGGCATTTGTTTATACTAAAAAGGAAAGATCTATTCCTTATGTAATTAGTATAGTCCATATGTATGAAGTAAAAGCTAGGGTAGATAAACTTTTATTTCATATTGCAGTTATTTTGTTATTCCTTAATGTGAAATGAGCTTAAATAATTGAAATGCATGCAGATACTTTCATGATCCACAAGTATTCAGTGGTAGAAATAAGAAATTGATGGCATTATGCTTTGAGAATATATGTTGAACTAAATAATTATTTGCTATATGAAGCTATTTTGTTTTCTATTTAAACACAAGAAGACGTTAATTTTAGAGCGTGTAGGTTATTTGGTGCTACGTTCCACTAGATTTGCATTTCTAGTTATAAAATAGTTTCATGAGAAAATTGTTGAATATTATGCCAGGAGAATTTATTTCTCCTGAGAAATAGAACCAGTAAGATTACTACCTGCATCTGTATCTATATCTCTCTGTCATCATCTCTGTCTCCATCTCCTTACTTTAAGGAATTGGCTTTGGTGACAGTGGGTGGCATGTCACATGTGAAATTCGCAGGGCAGGACAGCCAGCTGGAAATTCACATACGAGCTGATGTTCAGTCTGGAATCCAAAAGCCACAGATTAGGCCAGCAGACTGTTGACGCAGGTGGATATTGTAGCCTTGAGTCTGATGTCTGCAGGCAGACAGGAAACTCAAGCAGATTCTATGTGGAAATGTTGACACAGAATTCCTTCTGTGGGAAACCTCACCGTTAAATCTTAAGGCCTTCAACTGATTATATGAGGCCCACCCATGTTATGGGGGGGTGATCTGTCTTACTTAAAGCAAACTGATTGGAAATGTTAATCACCTCCACAAACACATATACTACAACATCAAGACAAGTGCTTGACCAAACAGCTGGACACCATAGCCTCGTCATAGCCTAGTTGACAGAAATCAACCGTCTCATCTTACTCTTTAAGTCAAGGCTTTGATAAGTATTTGAATTTCCAGTGTGCTTAGTACGGTGCCTTACACATGGAAGGTAGTCAGTAACCTTTGCTAAATGAATTTAATGAAAATTCCATTGCTTAGAGCCTTGGGTTATCCATTCTTTTCTGCACTGTTTGAATTTAAAGATGTATACATCTAATTTCCTCCTTACCTTAATATTTCTCCTTATTCTACAATGACCACAAAACAGTGTCCTTCTTTTCATGTGTTTGTGAAAAATGTTTCATAGAATAATTCATCATTGAATTGTTTCAGGGTAAACATAACTTCCTGGGTCTATTAATTCAAGATCACAGGGTCAAAATATAGCATAGAGATGCTCAGTCTAAGATAGTTGGGATTCTGTTATAGAAAAAAAATCTAATCCTTCTGGATTTTAGAAGATAAATCTCTTGAGTGTGAGTGGTGGAAATGAGTCTTTTGGAATCATTTTTTCCCACAGAAAGGGATTAAACAGATATAATATTTTTCAAAGTCACTGTTGATACTGAGGACAGTATGGCAATTCCCAGTGTAACTCACTGGCCAATAACATTCAGATAAAACTGAAATATGTAGAATATGGAATTCTCATCAAACCTCTCAGAAAATGCTGTTTGCTGGCTCTAAATAAAAATTCAATTTTGGTGCACTGTCAGATTACATCAGGTTTCAGCTTTCGCTAGTGAGTTGGTGAAGATTCATAGAACATGCTTTTAGTTATAATTTGATCTTTCTTCTTCCCTTTTTTTTTTTTGGTTATGTAGCCTAATTAGATAGGATTCTTGCTATTTTCATCCTACTTGTATGCATGATTTCATCCTGTCACCGCCAGTATGAACTTCAAGCAAAGAGAATTCTATCCCAGGCTTACGAATTCGGAACTCAAACTGAAATGAGTTTAGAAAAATGTTTAAATTACAAGTTCAAGGATGACACACTTCCCCAAGATGACCAACTTTTCTGCTCTTCTGGTTTTCAAGGGATTTGTCTTCCATATCTACAACTCTCAGTTTTTAATACTTTATCCTTAGGTTACTTCTGTGTTTACTTAATACACGTCCACCTGCTGTTCTCCACACACACCCTCCTGTTATTTTTTCCTTCATAGGGACTAAAAGAGCTTCAAAGAAAATCAACACAAATCTCATCATGAGTGGGTCTTATATTTTAAGACTAGAAGATTCTATTCCTGGTTTTAATGCAACTTATATGGTGCTAACTTCAGAGGAGCCCATTTTCTACAGAAAGTGTGATATGAGTCACTCTTAAAATGTCTGTTTTCTAGGCTTGGGATTTCCACATGAGAAAATCACCTGGCCTTCACACATAAATACGATTAGTGCTATATTAGAATGAAATCTGTACACAGAAACAGGTTGACCATAGTGTCCACAATACTTAGGTATACATCTATCAAAATTCATCAAATTGTACATCTGATATATGTGTAGTTTACTGTACAGGAGTCATACCACAATAAAGGGGTTTTTAAAAAAAAATTCAAAACTACAGCAACAACAAAGAAAGAAACTGAAACTGAGATTAGAAATGGGGAAACACAGTTTCCTCGTTTCTTTCTCTGCTGGTGCCCCCTCTCCCATCAGCGCGGCCTTCAGGGCACTTCTCCATCCCCTTGGTAATAACTCCAAATTCCCTTGTCAGCATTCCCTTCTGTTTCCAATCCAATT